AAGACGAAAATGAAGATGGCCATGAATAAGGGGCAAAACATGGAACGGATAATGGTAGGAAAATTGACAGAAAATGGAGAAAACGCAAAGAAAATTTCGCAGAGAAAAGTGAAAACATAAGGAGAATGACAAAAGCGTGAAGTTAAAAATGTGGAAGGAGACAGCGAAAGGTGGAGAAGAAGCAGTGATAAACGTGAAGAGGAATATGGCAAAGGAATAAGGGAGGAAATTACCGAACAACTGAAAAATATGAGATGATGGGGGAAATTGAAAGGAACAGACGTCCATGAATACAACGCGAAACATGAAAAGGAAAAAAGAATCAAGATAATGGAGATGGCAAACAGATGGAGAGGAAGACCATCATGAACATGGCCGCAAACGTGAAAGAAATGTTGACGAAGTGCATGTGATAAAAGATGAAGATGGTGAAGAAAATAAACAGATGAAGAGGAGGAAAATCGTCATGGATGGTACAAATGTCAAAAGGACGATGACAAGGAAAGGATAAAAGATGAGAAAATAGAAGAGAAATGATAAAAAATAAAAATAGAAAAGGTCATAAAACACAGTGAAAAAATTAAAAAAATACCAGAGGAAGAGGTAAAAACGTAAAGATGGCACAGAGGACGACGAAAAAAGATGCCAAAAAAAAAGATGCAAACCGTGAAGGGAAGATGGTGGAAAAAATGAAGAGAATGATTACCATAGATAAAGCAGAAAATGTGAAGAAGAAACGGCGAAGGAAACGGTCAAATGTAAACAGGAAGATGGCGAAGGAAATGGTGGGGCAGAAAAAACGATAGATAAAGAGAAAAAACTAACCATAAACATGACGCAAAACATGAAGAGAAAGATTACGATAAAACCATGTAAAGAGTTGGCCATAAATATGATGAAACAATGAAGAAAGATAGAAGAGAAAAAAAAATGATGATCAAGAAGCGATAAAACAGATGAAGAGTGAATAGTGCAAACGTAAAGGGGAAAGATGCAAAGGAAATAATGCAGAAAGACGGAGAAGAAAATAAACATATTCGTAAACATGGTACAAAACATGAAAGAGAAATAGTGAAGAAAACAATAAAAAATGAAGACGAAGATGATGTCACAATAAAGATGGGTGAGGAAAATGGGGAGAAAATGAAGAAAAAGCGGAAATGAGACGAAAACCATGAAGGTGAAAATAGGTGTTGAAAGAAAAATGAAACGAAGACAAAGAAAAAGTGAAGAATACAGTCATAAGTATGGCACAATTCGTGAAGAGTAACATGTCAAGGTAAAAATGATGAAAAAGTGAAGAAAGATTGGCGAAGAAATGATCATAAGCGCAAGAGAAAAGTGGAAAAGAAATAGACGAAGAGGAAGACAGTCATGAGCGTAATGTAAAATGTAAGGAAATAATGAGAATTGTGGAAAAGTAGATGCGAAGAAAATAACACAGCGAAAAAGAAGCATTACGATAAAGGAAAAAAAAAGGTGAAAAAATGAAAATTACCGCGAATATGTGAAGAAAGGAATGACTAAAAAACAGGTGAAAGGAAGAGATACAATGGTAAAAATGAAGAAATGACCACGAGCAAGTGAAAAGAAAAAGGTAGTAAATAAAAATTGTGAAGAAAATAGAGGGAAAATGGCGGGAAATGATGAAAATCGTAAAGACGAAGATGGCCATGAATATTTTGAAAAAATATAAAAACGAAAAGGAAAGAAGAAATAATGGAAATATGGAAATAAACGTGGTACAAACGTGAAGAAATGATGAAAGTTTCAAACCCAATGAACAACATAGCGAAATATGAACATAAGCATCTTACAAAACGCTCAGCGAAAGGAATGTAAAAGGCAAAAGAAGGACGGACGGGATGAAAAAATAGCGGTGGAAGAAATGGTAAAAAGATAAAGCGGAAGATGGGTATGAACATCATATGAGCGTAGGAAATGGTTACAAGCGCAAAGAGTAAGATGGAGAGAAAAAAAAAATGGCCATGAACATGTCAAAAATTGTTGGTGAGAATGTTGGTGATGGAAATAATAAAAAACACAGAGGCAAACGGAAGACATAGGTATAATACAAAAGAGCATGGTAATAAATAAGAAGAGAAAAATGGCCGGAAACATGGTGCGAAGCGTGTGGATATGGAAGTAATGAGGACGAAGAAAAACAACGATGAAAAAAATCGATAAACATATAAAGAAAGATGGTAAAGGCTAATGGTGAAAAGGCGAATAAAAAAATAGCAAGGAAAACAGTGAAGATGTATATGGCGGGGAAATTATGGAAAGATAAAGAGAAATATGTGAAGAGAAAGAAAGATGACCACAAACATAAGCCAAAGATACAACCATGAACATAATGAAGGAAATAACAGTAAAAGAATGGTAAAGAAAAAGCGAATGAAATGGTGATGACCATGAAGAGGAAGACGAGAATAAAAAATATGAGGAAAATGATGAAACAGGGGAAAAAATTTTGGAAAAAACGGTTGAGGCGAGGTAATGATGAAAAGATAAGGAGAAACACAGCCATAGAATGGTAAAATTGTAAGATAATAATGGAAACGGAATAAAAAAAGCCATACGCTGAGATTAAAGAAAAGGGTGTTGGCTCAAATGGCTACAGAAAGCCATAGAGCATAAACATGAAATCTAACATATCATAAATATCCCAAATATTCCTCTATTCTAAATCGCCCCCCACCCACCCAAATGCCAACTTACCTCAAAGTGATAGTCATCCCCCATCTTAGAGCTCAACTCTCTCTTAAAAATTTCAGACAACTTGCTGTCCTTTTTGAATAATTTTTTTTTCTTTGCCCAATTAACCAAGACTTTTTTATCGCTCTGCATTTTCAGTAATAATCCCAGTCCACAGTTATACGCTAACCGGAAGAATGTAAATAGGCCGAGAAATAACCAACGCGATGTTGATGTCGGAAGGAATAAGAAGAGGACGATCTGGAGAGCCATCACAGATAGGGTGAAGATATCGAATAGAGACTTGCGCGATGATGGATCAAACACCGAAGTTAACATGTCTTTGGTTTGAGGAACTGTAAAGACTATAGGCAGAGAAAGAGGAAGGAAACGACGACGACATTGTTAGTTCTGCCACATGCGATAGATACTTTTTCCTAGCAATCTAATCCTCTTGATGACGTAAGCATATGTTGTACAACTGATGACGATGAATAACAAGTATTACCCTCTCCTTCAAAGGTCTTTCCAATCACACGCTGCTGATTCTCTTTATTCGCATCAAGCGCATCTCCATTGTCAAGGTTTGGGTTGCCGGAATGCGTACTGACGCATGAATTTCTGTGGCGAAGGGAAGTATGTGCATCGGCCATTTATTGACAGCGGGAATTGTTGAGGATAGTTCGGATCGTGTTACTTGGGGGTCGGTATACAATCGTCGTGGGATTAAATAATACTTGTTGTTGTTGTATTCATACGTTCATATGCAACTGTAAACAGTGCGTTTCATATAAACTGTCTGTTGAAGACAATACTTTGAATGACTTTTCCTTCAGTCTGTTGAAGTTTGAAGAGAAGGATGGTGGGAAGTGATTTTTTTTTTTATTCCGCGTCGGGGCGATCTTAATGTTGTATATCATATGCTTTTGATGTGGCGTATTCTCATTGGGGATATGAACCACTCGCTAAATAATATAATTGGAAAGCGTCAACAAAGAAAACGAATAATATGATAATAACCCCAAAATGAGTCACGTGTTAATAATTTCGGGGGGCGGGAATGTGATTTCTGCGTGTGATTATCAAAGATTTTTGCATCGGGGGTGACATAGACAGGTTCGCGAACCGTTTGTCAGTATACTGGAATTTGAACTTGCATTTGAAAAGGGAAATGTCCACTTTCAAGCTTTCCCTGTTGCCGCGAGCAACATTGCAATGTTATGACGCTACAACACGCGTAATACCCAGACTAGATCGGTTCGAATTACCGGTGTGATTAAATAGAAACAAGAGCAAGCCCAAATTATTTATCTTTGCGAGAGATTTCCGTCTTCTAGACGGTACTTGTTTACCCATTCCAGCATATCTACTGTTCTCAAAACTTGCCTTGGAACGGTCATTGATATTAATCGTCTAATGTATTTACGAACGAGCTGGATATCTTTGACTTACCCTGCGGTAGATGTTTATCGATTGCACCCCAGCTCACGGCCAATGTGTACGACAACAAGGGTCTTTCGTTCAAAGAGTAGTATTCCTGCTGGCACACATATATCCTGTTTCCAACAATAAGAGATGGATTCGTGAATCACCATTGATTTTATGTATGGATGGTTGCGAAGCGTATAGTAACATGTAGGCTCTGGTTTCGCAAACATGGATACCCAACGGGTAAGCAACAAAGCGGGCGGATTTATTAGCCATATCAATTACTTACTCTATGATAATTGTTTACGATAATCTCAAAGATGAGAAGAGACTATCCCAATCCATACGTAGACTTTTACGACACTCACTTGCTGTAATCCCCGCCAAAAAGCAGAAAAAACTTAAAAAGAGAAGCCGGTCGGCAAATTGTATTTATAAGTTATTGATAACGGTGATATTCTCTAGAGGTGAAATATCTTAACGCTGTGCTCATACAATGACGTGTGAGTTTAGTAAGTCGAATTTCCAATATTAGTTATTAACGCACGCATGTATCATTCGATCTCAGTTAATTCGTGGGCGAATAGCAAAACGAATTTCTTTATATTACAATCTTGTATACACGAGCCAGATACAAAGAGGTAAAGTGTCAGCAGATTTTTTGTGCGTCTATCGTATTAGTATGTAGAATTGTTTTTTAGTGGAAGAAACATGTAATATTGAGATCAGTATTATGATTATAATATTTCAGGATATGGTCCTCGATACGTGATTTTTGTCGGGATATTCCAAACTTATTCGCGTCAAGGTTATAGCGTTTTTTGCAAATAGACAGTGGAAGATGCTATAATTATAATATTAATATACTATCTAAATTGACGATTTCTGAATTCCCAAATATCTACTCTTGCTTTCGTCTATCATTTAGGACTGTCTAAAAACTTGTGATCTGAAGACCCAACATTTAAGAAATGCACTACTCCAAATTATTTTTCTTGTGTCTGCTACAATACAGACGAGAATAGAAAAAGGCATCTGCTGCTGCTGGAAAGGGACACTTCAGAGGGGAGAATGTCGAATTCTAAGATTACAATATTTTGTTAAGAGTTATACGGAATAGGTTGGTTTCTTAATATTAAATTAAACTTGTTATCAACTCCAAGTGCTGCGCGTAATTGTTCAACAACTCGCTTACTAGCTCAATTGATGTTTCAGCAGAACTAGCGCTGTTTGGGAAAGACGACCGCATACTTAGATGATTACTAGTCGTTGCGGATAACATCACTCTAGGGCGCAGCATTCAGTAACGGTAATATTATGTTACCGCTTGCAAGCTTCCTGTTCATTTGCGATTTTTCAACTGACCATTCCTTCGATTCGTAGATCTGTGACCAGAAACTCAACTGTTTGAAGTGCTTTCCTTGTTGAAGCGTAGATCGGTATAATGGTTAGGATAAGACAGCGAGAATTATAATCATTTATGGCTGGATGTGTGTTGGCGTGCGAGGTGAGGAAGGTCATGGGCGAAAATGGGGGAGTATGTTACAAATTTTAATGGCATTCCACTTCCTCCTTTTGAATTCCGATTAACAGCCTTAAGCTGTAAGTAATACTAGGTAGAACTGCAAACTGCATATAATTAGGATGGAATTATTGCAGTTAGACTTTAACACTTAACAATATCATTTCTATGCTAACTGCTCATCTCTGTTTCATAACTTCTAGGCTTTCTTGTATTCACGAGCTCAAGAAGTCAATGAGATGGATGGATCTAATACGGAGTTTGGCGAGTTAAAGATGAAGGTGGAGTGTCAGTGGTGGCGGAAATCAAGAGTGACGTTAGACCCATACTGTATTAACATATACCACATTCGTCGTTAAAGGCTTTGCTCTCTCCGTATACCACCTCCCCTTGACTTCGTCGCGTTCCGCGTTGAAGTATTGCACGCAAGATACCACTAGGCCAGCCCGGATCATTGTTTCCCGAACACTGCACTATAGGTGTTTATAAAGAGAAAGCTGCAGTTCAGTTTAATGAGTCTGCTTATCGGAATCGGATTTTATTCATTGCAGCATTGAAGAAGTTAGCAAAGAAAACCAACACCGGCAACCTATGCGTTATTTTCACTCAGTGCGTATAGGATGAATCCATATTTTGGAATTATTAACAATAGCCCTGGCGAGTTGGACATAGCTTTATCGTGGGGATAATGAATATCAGAATGTTACAATTACAGTTTGGTTTGATATGCACCTTGTACGAATACAATCTCATCATTAGATGAATGAATTATTGATATTGATGCTTGTTATTAATTAAAAAAAAGTTGATATTGCTTTAATAGTCCATTTCTCAATTATCGTTATCTTAACCCTTGAAATTATTAAAAACAGTAGAATGATGGTTTGGTCGATTATAACGGCGATATTTCCAACTGATTTGCGAGAAATGCTTAAAATATATTCCGATAGTTATCCAACCAGGCCAGGCGATGCTTTATTAAACGCTGGATATAAGTCTTGGCCCAGAAATACCGTCTGGTATTCTAACGTTCAATTACCAATTTGTTTGTTTTATCATTAAAATTAGATATCACGATAATTACAATTATTATTATAGTTTTCGGCAATAACTCAGGCCTATCACTAATATTTTGAGCAAAGTACTTGGCACGTGAATCGAGTAAATCGTTAGTATTAGCGAATCACGAATTCCGATGGATTGACAAAATGTCATGGTTATGGACATTCACAATGTCGGGAACAAATAATTTCCCGGTTTTCGTGTTACATCTGACCACAGTAGACAGTAATAAACGGCGAGATAGCTTTAGCGTCAAATTGTGAGCCTTGTCGAAGAATATCTCTAGTATAATTCGGTCTTCACTTGGCACGCCGTACAGTCAACTACTGTCTATAGTCACTTCCTCTGCTTAGTAGAACAGAAGAAATAAACACTCTCTCCCCTCTGTCTATAATCCCCACTTTTCCGAAATTTGCATTGTGCCAAAAGGTGTGACTATAGACAGTAGTTGACGCAGAAAACTCAACCTATCAAGTACTCACACGAATAGTTTATGCAGGGACTTTCCTAATTAATCATTTTGCCCTTAATGATGTGCAACTGTGTAGCCTGCTGCGCACTTATTAATGTTGCACGTGTACAACGAATTGGCAATCATTTATAATGCATTGATTTTCGCTTACTAACGCTAATACTAAATTCAAACAATGATGAACTTCGGTTATCCGGTGAGAATGTCATACTATAATGAGTAGAAAAATGGGCGATTGCTAACCTTTTGCTTTTCATCCTTTTTGCTTCACTTCTCTCAACTTTCATTTAGCTACCTCACCCATCAAGCGACAAGGTCAGTGCACTGGCGTTCTCGCCGGTTGCAAACTTTCTTGCTGTTTCTTCATGGGATAAGTATGTAAGTCAACTAGCAACAAATATGACCTAAATACAATCCACGGAATTCGGCGGCGGTTTGTTTTGGTTTAACATGAAACTATCATCCGTGATAATGTCCTTATGACATTAAACAGACAACAATGGACGACCTCTCTGCCTCCCGTCTCTCTCTTTCTCTCTATTCCCCAAAATCACTCCCCTTCACTGATGATGGTCATCGCAGTCCATGCTGTGAAGGTTTGCATACCTTTATAGTAACACCTACGATTGAACGCTAGGTGTTTCTGTATTAAAAAGGACTGTAACACACTGTGAGTGGTCTTCAAATGACATCTTGTTCTGTTCGAAGAAATTCTTGCAAAACGAGTTGTCATTGTCTCAAGGTTGATGGCCGGGTCCAGAAGGAGTAGTCCCGTTTTAGTTGTCTTGACATTCAAGTAAATCACAATGTACTATAGTGTTAATATGAAACACGTTACCATAGAATTGTTGCCGAATTCCTTCGAGTTATATAACTGTCATTTTAACATTCGTTTAATTGTCATTTTCCGTATAGATGAAAATATATGAAGTAGATGCTGCAGTCGGAGTTGGATACGGCAGACTAGAATACAAGCATGAATTTGCTGTTTTATGCTGTGCGTGGAGTAAAGTGAGTTAATTAATACAAAAATGAAATCCTTGCAGGTTTCGATTTATTTATGGCTAATCTCTTTTTATGTTTAGGATGGACTTAAACTCGTTTCGGCCGGCGCGAATAAGGCTGGCGGGGTGCAGACGGGCCTACTGGTTGATTTAACTACACAACAGCATATGCAAATTGCCCAACATGTATGTCCTATAAAAACCATCAAATGGGTAGATAATCAAGTGTTCTGCACCGGAAGCTGGGACAAAACCGTCAAGTGTTGGGATACTCGAACCCCGACTCCTGTATTGAGCATTCCTGTACCCGAAAGGGTTTATGCAATGGATTTAATATATCCTTTTTTGGTTATTGGTACGGCCGAAAGGCACGTTGTAGCTTTCGATCTAACGAATCCTAGTAAACTATACAAGGTAACGTCATGAAACTGTCATTCACATAATTTTTAAGATTGTTCTGTTTTCTAACATCATTGCAATTGTTATCTTATTTTGACTTATAGTGGCAACCGAGTCCTTTGCAGTTTCAAACTACTGCAATATCTTTTTTCATGAACGCGACTGGCTATGCTATAGGAAGCATGAGCGCAGTCGGGATACAATATCTCAATAAGGAAGAGGAGCAGTAAGTAGATAAATGTTTCCTGCTGTTACATAATCAATATTCAATCGTGTAAAATGGGTTATATTAATTCATATTCTTCATTATTCAAGATTAAGCTTCTCATTCGAATGTCACCGAGAGGGCAGTATCATAAATGCCATCTCATTCCATCCCTTGTACGGCACATTTTCAACTGCCGGCAGCGATGGTACAGTTAATTTCTGGGATAAAGATTCTCAGCGGCAACTCCAGGGCTTTCCCACCGTTGGGTGTCCGATATCAGCGAGTACTTTTAATAGAGATGGTACAATATTTGCTTATGCCGCAAGCTACGATTGGAGTGCGGTAAGCGTTATTAAGAAGTTAATGATACGTGTGTTGCACGTCTCTCTCTCCGATCATTAATTAAACCTCTCTTATTAATTTTCGTTTGCTATAATGTAGGGATATCTACCATCACCACCGGGCAACCATACTGTATATCTGCGCCGTGTAGGGGAGGAGGTTATACCAGAAAAAATGCGCCGCTTTCCTTGTCCTATGACACTCGGCAGATGATTTTTGTCAACACAGATTACAACTATTTATTTTCACATTACTTACTTCTTGTCTTATATTTAACAAGCAATGTTTCGTGTCACATCATAAATAAAGATCTCAAATTGTTTTACTTTATGCTGTATGTTTTTCTTCGAATGCTTTCATGTAATCAATCAATGCAGTTACGCCCTCTATTGTCATGGCATTATAAATGCTGGCCCTAAGGCCGCCGACGCTACGATGTCCTTTCAACTGATACGTCTTCAAAGCTTCGGCACCTGCCAAGAATTGCGTCTCCAATTCGGGCGGGTTTATTCTGAATGGTACGTTCGCACTCTTAAATCAATATGCGATTGGTAGATTTTTGATTGATCGATATAGTCATACAGCAATTTAGCCTTCTTCTCATTGACTTTCTCAATCTCTTGGACTCCGCCTCGTGCTGTTAAATGCTCAAACACTAATCCCGCCATGTACACCGCAAATACGGGAGGCGTGTTATATAACGAATCTGTATCTGCCATGATTTTGTAATCCAACATACTGGGTACTGTCGCCAACATGCTACTACTCCCAGCACTATGCTCGACAACAGTCTTTGGCTGATCAACCAACAAATCCTCTCTCACGATCACGATAGTAACTCCAGCCGGTCCAACATTCTTCTGAGCTCCCGCATAGATCACGCCAAATTTACTAACATCGAATTTACGCGAGAGTATGTTCGAAGACATGTCACACACGAGTGGAACGGAAGGGTCGATATCGGGAATGTAGGGGAATTCAACTCCATTGATTGTTTTGTTATCACAGTAATATTACCACCTGAAAGTCTTGCATCTGCGGCAATGTTTACGTTTGCATAGACTCTTTTCGCCTCGGCCACCGATTTTGCCGACCACGAACATAATCTACAGGTGGATTCAATGAGTAATCGTCCTCTTTGCGGCGACGATATTGTATACGACCGCCGCAAATTGAGTATGCCCACCTCCCTGCATAAATAGTATCTTGTAGTTTTCTGGAATATTTAACAATTGCCTTCTTGGTCTTTTTGAGAAGGTCAGGCGTTTTGGAACAATGAGAGATTTCGAGGACCGACATTCCGGAATCATTTCGACAATCAATTTCCCGGGATATTGTCGTTTGGGTCTAGCTGATGCGCTTCTCGAGAATGTGTCTGACAATGTGTAAGTTTACATGGCATATTAGTCATGCTCGATTAGAACTTTATTTCGCGGCTAATATATAATACCATCAAATCTGAATTAGATACAAAGGCTATTTTGTTGATTTATTTGTACGCGTGTCAAACACAGTTGCCATTGGGATGTACCAGAAGTTTGGTATTAGATATTAGTTAATACAATCCTAGTTAATCAATAACGCGTGTCTAACTGGTTAAGCCAAACGATCAATTTTATTTGCAATTCAGGAAGTATAAGTAGTCAGCAAAATATCTTTTACAGCAAATAGTGTAGAGTAAACGGGTTTGCAAAATGTGGTTTTAAACTGCTTGAAAGCACCCGGTTACGTTCTAAAAAATTAATACATACTGTACATAGTATTAATTGCTTATGTTTCAATAACATTTAGAATAAATTTTAAAATTTAAAATCTAGCAAATAAACAAGTTATTATAAGTTGATGAAATTTTGTCAGACATTCTTTTTACGAAAAATAATTTTTAAATTTCCAACATTAGACTAGGTAAACACTTTATAATAACAGATGCTACCTTATTTGCAATTTTTTTAACAGTTGAGCTATTGAAAATTATATAAGCTTAATTACTACCAAAAGTTTAACTTTAAAATGGGTTTATGATATTATTGTTATCTGACGTTATAATTATTGCTTTCCCCGAGACATCAACAAAAATATTAATATGCAAGGTATTGCCTACTGTTCTCTGACTAAAAAACGACGAGTTAAACAATAAAATGTTACTCTAAATCTGTTTCAATCAACAGACGAGGGAAATATGTCTAAAGTCGAAGGATAAGAAAAATGAACTATAGTTTGACTAATAACTGGCACATATTTATTTAGCTATCTGTTATCATGTAATTGTAGGTAACTGTAAAGCAGATTGTTGTAACAAAGTTTTCTTTTTGTTATGAGACATGCAACTTTTAGTGATTACCATATTCAGAAATGTCATATTACAATGCAATGTCAACGAGCGTGTTCTTAGAATCCACCGATAATAATAAACAACATGCTATAACTCGTAGACACTTGATACTTGCACTTAACAGTCAATTTATCAGTTACGACACAACACCATTCTTTGAACTAATTACTATTACGAAATGTGTATTTTTATTTAATAAACAGAGCTTATATACATGATGAGCGATATATCAACACTATGACAACCCCTTTATCTCCATCATCATCCTTCAACCGTATTAAAGTCCTTGGCTTCTTTGTTCTTCCGAAGAACATCTTCATGTAAAGTTCCTGGAGTGGCGGAGTTACGGTACGCCGAAACCGTTTCGCTTGTCCGGGGGGGGGGGGCAGGAGTCCGCGAAGATCCAAAAATTTAAGTGTTTAAAAAATATATTAATATTTGGTTTTTTTTAATAAAGTTTTTTTAAAACAAAGCCGTTTTATTTAAAAGCTTTCTTCTGGAAAAGATGTTTTTTGTGTGAATGGTCATGGTCAATCACCCGCGGGTGATTTGTCTTTTCGATAGAACCCATGGCCTGTACAAGATGTGGAAAAAATTTTTAATAGTAAATGTTTCAAACAAAGGCGTTCTGTTAAAAGACGTTTTCCAGGAAAGATGTTTTTTGTGTGAATGGGCGCGTTTTATGCACCCGCGGGTTATTTGGCTTTTCATATCCCCGCAAAAGAAGCTTTGGTCTAAAACAGAGCCAATATAAAAATACGCGTGGTTGGTTGAAGAAGTATTCATTATGATGTATGTGTTAGATGTGAGAATCGCACTGACAAGAAAACGATGAGATTATATAGATCTCGCAACGTCTGCTAAAGTTTAATGCAAGGCGTGTCTAATAAAACGTAAAATTTCAAAAGTGGTTTAAATCTGCATTATCGTCATTTGTAACAATTGTTTAAACAAGAATTCTCACCACCGAAAAATAATTCAGAGCGCCTTTTTAGTATTAGCTTACCCATCCGCATTGTTTGAGTGTTGGCGTGTCAGATTGTCTAATATGTCGAACTGCTCATTATTACTTTGGTGTAACAATCGCGGGTGCAAACTTAAATTCTTCTTCTAAATTTTGCGGAAGACTGAGAACGCGCATTCAAACAGAATGACATGCCGTCGAACCCTTCCAAGATTAACGTCTACACGTATTTGCGGCTGAATTAATCTTTAGGGGAAAATATCAGGACAACGACAGTGGCGCGATCAATAAAAAAACAATAAGCGGCACATTCAAGAAAGTTCAAAAAGGGCACCACCGAGAAAAGCAGAACGTTGTAATCAACTGAGAGAAAGCCTCCTGTAAGCGAAATCGTCATGATTAGACATACATCGCCCTGCTAATGATGCTACCACATACAACGTGCAATCCAGAGCATGGATTAGAGGGGAGGTAGATACTATGATATATTGTCACACATTTTCGTCAACCGGACATGCTTCGATAAAATAAGATTCAATATTTACCAGAAGAAGTGCGCTCGTCTATAACTGTCCCTCACGGTAGGTCTGACGTTAATAATAGATAAAAAAAGTATTAATTTCGTATGAAGCCACAGGATCCTATGCAATAGTCTGTTTAATTGACTGCGAGAAAAGCGTTTTAGTAAAATACAGCGTTGTTTGCTTACCATCTTACTTTCCTCTTCCAAATGAATCGTCCCCAGAGTTATTCTTGGAATGCGCTATTGAATGTGGCTGTGGATATCTTATAATACTTTCCGATCACTTATTCAAATACTCAGGGTAAGTAGATTTGCATGTGATCGGAGCATGTTATAGTTGACATTCCCAAGATTGCTAGTACGCCTAGCTCTATGTGTGAATGATCAGCTTGCGGCAGTTTGCTGAAGTATCCCGTCATCTGAGGAAGATCCTTGATGATTATTCGTATCAATAACATATTCCCTCTGAATGTTCCAATACTAAACAAGAGCCCTTACCACGATGCAATTTGTTCCTACAAGCAGAACAATATTACTGAAAATCTATGATCACATCCTGCCGCATTCTTTACTATCTCTAATAGTAAAGCGAAGCCTGATAATAATAAGTATGAATTATACACAAATAAAGATTGTATGCGGATAATTTGTCATTCTACTAAAGACTTATTAACGTATTTCTCAATTAAACCACACATAGAACATAGAATTAGTTTAATAACTCACTTTCTGTAAAGTCCATCAGCGTAACAGGAAGAGTTCACGTCGATGTAATCGCGCTTTAACACGTGACCAATATTTGAGACTCGGCTAATTCCTAATTTGGAACTACTCTGCCGATTTATAATTATAGCAGCCTGAGAAATGAGGAAACGTTTCCACAAGCCTATTCGCAGTTGTTTGCGTAAAATTCATAAATAGTCACTTTTTTTTTCGACACTTACCTAATCCAAATTTGTCCGTTTGTATTACGGTCACGCAACCCCTGCATATCTTTGCATATCCCTCGGAATGTGACATATCAAGATCAATATATCGTTGGGCCAGAGAAGTAAGTAAAAAGGGAATATGAGGTATATGATAGAAGAGGGTGGGTTTCTAACAAGACAATATAAATAAACTAGGCTATCATGGTCGGGTGCAGTGTACGGATAGAAGATGTTGTGTCTTTTTATACTGTCGTAACGAGTCAATCGGCTCATAAAAGGCAACGAGCTTTGTTACACGATAACGCCAAGGCACCGCTGCCCATATCAATAGATCTCTTCTTTGTGTGTAGCAATCTGCAGGTGTGTGAATTTAAGACTTCTGATCTCAATACAGTTATTCCCTAACCCTTCCCCAAACCCTAAGAAAATATGAAATAAGACTAATCCTCTCCTATCATCGCCGGAATCTTCCCAAGAAGAGAAGAACTTTGGCACGCTTTATACGAAATCGTTAAAGTGAACGTGCAAATATTCGCACTACAAATGTCAGACTGTCAGAAGCACGCAAGCCAAAAGGACGGGCGTTGATGATTGTCGACGGGATCAAACGCTCTCAAAAGATGACAAGTCGTGTAAGTGTAAAGGGGAGTTGAGGCAGCATTGTTAGACTAGTCACATTTATATCATTAAAATTAATGTACTGCCAAACTATGAGCATTTACTACATGTTCGATCAATGTTCCTCGCGTAACCCATGTCTTGTCTAACTTACCCTCCATTTCCTCTTCCACATTAACAATCTACCAGTGCCTTTTGACCACTGCTGACGTTTGTTGAGCTGCCTGGATTTTCGAGGTCTTTATTCGCATTATAAAGATTGGCGTTTCGAAGTTCTTCTCCTCACGAAGGTATTCTTAATCCTTCCTTTGCAAAAAACTCAAGTACTTCTTTCTAACCAATTATCCCACATGAACTATTTCGTAGGAATGTCCCGGTTGGTTGGGGAATCTATGATTTTGACACGACGGCACGTCGCGGGAATTGACGGTTGTGCTGAGGACCAATTCGAGAAGGATAGTTGAGTGAAAGATAGAGACTGAACGGCTATCCAGCCAACCGTTGGTCACCATACGAATAAAATTTTATTATGATAAGGATACTATAATGTTAAGTTGAATTCCACTGAACCAGAAGCATAATAAATAATAAGATATTTAATTTCTGGGCATCAAGATTTTTGAAAACAAATCAATTTGCATCATCACGTGTTGATATACACGTGGTTTCGTATCAATTCTTGAGCAGTTAATAATTGCATATGGGCATTATTATGCGATACTTCTGGATATCGAATTCGGTCGACTTCAAATTTATCAGCACTAACAAAGCGTCGAAAAACTTTTAGTCGGGTTCCTCAACATGATATATTCTGCCTTCATCATTCAATGTGTATTTCAACGATTGCCTTTCCCATGCTTTCCACATTCTGATAGATTTGCAGCAGAGAAAAAGTCTTTGTATTAATAGTACGTATTTCTGCATTGCTATTCGATCAATCCATTCCGTCATTGATGCGAAACGCGCTTTTACCAAAGCCTAGACGACATTCCAATATCCTCGGTTTTTCGTTCCTAATCTTTTGACACGCTTTTCTTTATTACTATCTTTCCGCACCCTCTCCCAATCCGACTACGCCATCACAAATACGCAGCGCGAACACATCGATGTCCTTATCTGCGACTTCAAATTATTTATCTTCTTACAACCAGTACTGGAGACGATGATGGGGAGCTGATTCCGTGAAGGACTGTAGGACTGGTACCAGGCAATTGCGTTCTTCAGGGGTAACGAGGATAGATTTGAGCTCGCACAATTTCATGTTGGCTATGTTCACGAAGTTCGACATTCCAATGTTGAGGTACGAGTTAATTGATTTGGCTTTATGAAGCTCTTTTAATTGGCTACACTTGGGGATGTGGAGTGTGATTAGAGTTTTATGAGCGCAACGTGGATAACTATGAATTAAGTTCTCTCACAATTGACTCATGTATACACCATTCTCACCTCTCAATTCAGGCGTTCAGCGACGCTAAACTTGACCTATCCATTATCAGACTGGACAAATTACGCGAACGAAGATTCGGTATACTTTCTTAGCGCTGAACATATATAATACCGAAATATGTAATACAAATTCGAGCAACTCAACTGAATTATGAAGGTATCTCTGACACTTTGCGCATAATTATTATCTATGACGATCACCTGACGAGGAGAATGCTTCGTGGTCTTGCAAATGGTCCCGTTAGACATATGATAGGCTATGCTATCAGTATTGATTTCGACAAGTAAAATATAACCTCATAGGCAGGAACTCCGCAGATGCGAGAATTTAAGCAAATCTCATTAGTTTATAATGCGAGTGTTCATATCGAAAGCACAGTAAGGCTGCACTTTTAGGAAGACAAAAAATGGGGGCCATATGAGAATATCATGAAAATGAGTTATGAGCATATTGGATTAATGAAATCCGCAAAAAAACCAGAACACTGGCTTTTACGGCCTTTGTTATTATGGAAATAATACGGCTTATGAGATAAGGGAGAATCCAGATCAGGAATGAGACATACAGTCCATGCCGGCGACCAATCTACTCATCACGTTCGTCTACATTTAACCTTTCACCTTTACTAAACACCCATTGATCATGATTTGTACAGTATCATACGCCGAGCTAATAGCAATTATAATCTCCTTATGTGCACATCCCCTTTTGTAGACCTCTCGTTCTTTCATTGAAACAAAAATCGACATCTCTGGACTTTAATGCCTAGTTCATTTTCTTCGGTTTTATGTGTTACTTTTGACATTCAAACTCGTGCCGTTCGCATGTCCCTTGATCTTCAAAGAAGGTCAACATAGTCACGTACCATTACAAGATAAGGATAGACAAAAGATTGGGTCGTAGCAACAGACATTATTTTGTTCACCACCACTAATTGTTGAGGAAGTCAGAAAAACCATGGTTAAAGAATAAGAAATTACCAAAGACTATGGAAGCCGGCAAAAGAAATTGGTAAACAGAGGCCAACTGCTTTTACGCTCTCGGATGAATGCCCCATGCTACGCAAAAGTAAAAGAAGACAATTGTGCATAGTATTTATTTAATTACTTGGTTGTATGCATAGTCAAATAACTCATTGTCACCATATTTCTAACTTGCATTTCGTGAACAGTTATGTCACCAGTTCTCGACTCGGAACCAACTTTCTTGGCAATCTCAGCGGCTTTCTCCTCCCGATTGCTTGTTTCTCATGTTTCGTAATCGTAGAAGTAAAGAGAAATTGTTTATAGAAAGACTTTACAACCTGTTTAATCAGCGATCGAATATCTAATTGCATAATACACCTGGTGTTATCATACCAAGCTATGACACGCGTCCATGTCGTAACAGTACATATTTGCTGGCACAGAATCATGCTGGCTGCGGAAAATGTGTGCGTCGTTTATGTCGATGATAACTAACACCGCTGTCTAGAAGCTTTTTACTAAGCGATAATGTTCGTTCAACCCTTTAAATATCTGTTTCACATTCTCTGTACAATGCTACTAGAATGCTCCTCTCATCATAAGCATGACCGCCGCCTGTCAATGTTTGATTACCGCACCACATAACACTCACACGCAAACGCCGTGAGTCTATTACTGCCCTCTTAAAGAGGTCATAATCTTCGATAGCTTGACATACGGACGTCTAATACAAAAACCACCTTATATGTGTCTCCTTTAAGAAATTGATCGATTTGGGATTGTCACAGTAGAATAAATATTATTGCCAACAACTACATAATTTCTGTGATAACGCCGATGACAATGTTTGAAATGTTCTCAGAACGACATTGATTTTTATGGCAATTTCATACTCGGGTTTAACATATGCAGCAATTACGGCAGCAATATAATAAATACGTCCTCATCAACCTCCAGACATTTTATATACGTACTAGTGTAATGATGCTGGGGGTTAGTCACTAGGACCGCTTTCTTACACTACATTAACCGTTCTAAATAAACAAGAAAACGCAGGATTAATCTCTTATTATCAATACCATATGTTCTTGTTCTGTCAGTAATTGGCACTTGAAACTTGTTAATCCATATTAAATTGTGTCACGTGCGATAACTGAAAGTTTTTTTTATTCAAGGGTTCTCGTTTTTCTAAATTGCTTTCACTTTGCAGTTTCCAAGGTATTTTCATTTGGTTTCCCGACGGAGCGTCGTCACCCAGCCTTTCTTTATAGCCCTAATTCAACCGTCTTCAAGTGCATGAGAAAGTTTACGATTTTGGGTAGGAATCAGCAATGCGTCAAACTGAACCACCCGTAGGAGACTTAACGATATCAACAAATTACAACGCACTACTGTTTTGAAAAAAAAAAGCTGTCTGTATTATAACAAAAAAATGTCGTCAAACTCAAGCACTTCCAATACCTCTTCTCAAAGCCAAGTTCCCTCCGTGGCCTGTACGTCATGCCAACAAAAAAAGGTGAAGTGCACGTACGTCATGCCAACAAAAAAAGGTGAAGTGCACGCGCGGTATGCCGTGCGGCAATTGTAGCCGCACAGGCAGCGTGTGCGAATACGCCGAGAGGCGTCAAAGGCCGTGTCAATTAATCAGCAAAGCAATAAATCAAGAACTAGAAGAATTTTCAAAACAGCACTGACTGGCGGCTTTAATCACATCGTTACTACGGACTGCTTATTCTTGACTGTTACGGTCGGGGTTTATATGTGTGTTAGCTGTAACGGCAGCGGCTACTTTATTTCAGTTCTTGTTGGGAAAAATCAAGAAGTGGATAAACACCTCATCACTCATCTCACGTCTCATGACTCGACTCTCTACTCTCAACGGGTCCTACTACCCTAAATCGCATTCGAAGCTCAAACTCTAAACGATGCCAAACTACACGTGTATATATGCCATTGGCTTACGGTCGATAATAACACGTTAGACACATTCTCTACAAAGAAGTGTCCACCATCCGTGGAATGCATCGTGGTTAGTGCAAATGGAAACTCCCGAGGTAAAAGACTTTTTCGCTAAGGCGCGCCTCGGGAGTTGAACAACACGATTCCAAACTACACGCGTACATATACCGTCGGCCGCTTGCCCCATCCAAAACCTCTGAAGACGAACACGGTGTTAGATACCTTCATAATATGACGCGTCCGCTCTTCCTTGGCGTAAAAGACTACGAAGTGAAGTTCAACCAGACCGTCAGAGGCACACCGGTCGATAATAAAACGTTAAACACATTCTCTACAACGAACTATCCACCGTCAGTGGAATGCATCGTGGTCAGTGCAAATGGAAACTCCCGAGGTAAAAGACTTTTCGCTAAGGCGCCTCGGGAGTTGAACAACTGGGAATTTGTAAAGTCATATGAACATTTGATGGGAACTATGATGTGAATGCCATATTAACAAGAAAACCCACATCAGAAAGTAAATCGGACTTCAAACGAGGAGCAAGAAGCATCCTTATTTATTCAGAACAGAATCCGAAATAAATTAAAGATATTATTAAGAAGTCACTATAGTTAGTTCAGCATTCTTTATCGATCGCAATACAGTAATTCTTCTTTTTATTTATCTGTAATCCTCAAAATGAAATAAATTTATTTTTGCATCGTTAACACTCGCCTATTGTGTTAGAACACTATAGAAACTCAAAGCTAAGCGACCACAACCTTTTCAAATCACATTGTTATTATTTGGTCGATGTTTCTCCAGAGTCTCGCGTAAGCTCACCCTATAAGATTACAAGTGAAAACAATATCAAAATCATCTCAGCGCACTTGATCACGCGACTCAGCACGAAAGCATTTTTGATTACATTATATACCATAAATTAAAAGTTTAGTTCCTTGATACTTTCTGTAGCGACGCGTGTTACAATTGTCTTCCATAAACAGGAAACCGCGTCTTATCATAGTTTGGATTGTACGTGAGTCTTCAGACTTCTTTTATATTTGAAGTTTTCCTTATCTTGGTTGCATATGTAAGTGGACTTGGATTACACACGAGTTCTGTATCTCATAGTTATTGTCTCGTTCTAATTAAGCTAAACCCCCTTCTTTTCGATTCCATCATTCTTTTCGATCATACAATGGATGAGAAGGTAAACCCGAATTATGCCTAGGGAAAGAACTTGGCGCTTTAGTCATATCCTTTATGTAAAGTCTGGTAATGCAGGCAAATTGAAATGCATTACCCTTCTTGATTCCAACACATATGCCCTTTTGCATTGCACTAATCCGATTTTCCACACCAAGCATGATCGAGTAAAGTATCCCACGCAGTTATATGCAGTGCTGTCAGAATACGTCTTTCAGTCTTTTTATCGAGGTCCAACTTCAACGATGGTGACAAATCTTGCATCCCAAGTAAAATATAGCTTCGCGTTCATAAAGTACTCACACAGTCGTGACTATTTTGTTCATTATCATTAGACCCCAATTTAAATTCAGTCCAAGTGTCAAATTCTTGTTAAGCGCATCTGAATATGAATTAACAGTGCTCGATCGCTTACCACGAGCACGTATCTGTAACGGCCGATTAATCCAGTGATGAAGGCGCGTCTTTAACGTTTATGTTTCTATTTTTGTACAATACCGTAGAATAGATGTTAATGATAAATTGTGAATACATGCGACATAGAAAAAGTCTTTCACTAACAATTAAATACAAGTATTTCTGTCAGCATCTGTTAAATCGACGGCCGTGGGCACATTTAAAATAAGTTTATTGGAAAAAAGGGGATTTCGACAAGCGCAATTTCGTTTGAAAGTTACCCGATCGCTGTAGCATAGCAAAAATATTTCGTTTTATGAACACATACCTCCTTTTAAAGCTATAGCTATAATTATTATTACACAAAAAACGAATCAAACTCACCGAGTATAATCTATCAGTATTTGGAAATTGAGTTTCGAGATGGTGAGAATAAGCATTCTTTCTGTTGATCGCATTCTCATTGGCCGTGCGTGAGTGATATCGATGCAAGGTGTTAAGAAATATTAATATGGTATGCAAATGAAACGAAACAAGTAAACCGCGCGTATGTAGACTATGAATTTATGAAATTGTAACTGCAGAAACAATAGAAATTAAAAAAAAAAAATGACAAGACCTAACGAAAATATCGAAAACGAAAACTCATGAACTTCCTGAACTAGCTGATAGCAACATCGTGCTACACCTCTTGATGTAAGTACGTGTTCTTTTGGGGAACTTACTAGGTTTGCCATGACCCAGTTAAAGTTGATGCACTACTATGTTGGATTCGGATATCTCAATTACCAACAGTGGTATTCACGTAAAACTTGGTGAATGGTATGTACGAATCTTTGCTTGATCGATAGTAACACAGTATCTGACTAAGTCGCAAGATTCTGAAAGACTCTTTTAATATGTCGCAAACAGGCTCTATACACTTTGCTAGTATAAAACCGTCATCAAAGATTGACGGTAGCGCACTGAAAGTATTATTACTGCGGCCAAAGCACTGATAGCTACACATAATATTGTTAGTAGCGTTATTTCGCGATTCCTTACGATTTATATTTCTTGATTTATTTGACTTACACTTTTATTTTTCTTTTACTGTAGCAAGGTGTTCAGTCTACAATATAAGACCCAACATTATAGCTTTTGTTGATCTATGATGCTACAAACAATTCAATCACCGGACTCGACACTGAAGAACTGAATCATCAGTTCCTTACTGAACTCGGTATATCAAATACGAATACCATCGTCACGTCATCTGCAGCTCTCGAAACGGAAACAATATTTGCTAACTGGAAACGTCGACATGGGTTGGACATTGTTGATTGGTCTTGGAAGAGTAAGGTTGGAGTATTGCATTCTATGGATGGCAGCTATTTGAAGACTAATTTGGTGACATGTCTATAAATTAACAGAATAGACCTACTCACGAGACGGGGAGAGTCCAATGATGGAGCAAGTGGCTGCCTGAGAAATATACTTTGTGCTGAGAATCCTCCAGGAGATTACATACAGAATATGAATAAGGTGTAACTTGTTTATGGAATCAGCCTTACTATGGTTAACCTATTTTAGCTATAACAGATAATTGATCGGTTATTGGCAACGCGTCGGTGGGCGTTTGACTCTGTTTGTCATACGCAGAGTAATGCTACTCATAAGAATACGTAAATCAGTCAACATTTGCTGTATCTCTGTTGAAACAAACAAGAGTATTGGGCGGGGTGTTCAAGAAAATCAAATAAAATATTTTGAGGTATACGATTCAACGTCTTTTTCTCGAGATCCAAATGTATTATATGCTAACACACGTACAACCCACTTTTCTAATGTCTAGATAAAACCAGATGAAACGGAAAATCGAACTATTAGCCTACCTGATACGCAGCCAAACTATTCCATATGTCGTCGACATCTTCCTTGGGTTCATCAGGTTGTATAGCGGCCGTGGATCAAGGTATTATCTGTATCCCAAGCTTTATCAAATGCGGGCGTGACATGAAACCATTCGGAAGTGGTGATGAGAGTCGGCCTATAAAAGTTGTATGTACACTTTTATGTGAGATATATCCCAGTCTTATTGCACGCAATTGCAGAGGAAGAAGAAATCTATAAGAAACGGGACTTTGCTATTTTTCTCGGTGCTGGGCGTTGAAGCGAGAGCGCAGGAAGAAAAGGAAAGAATTGGATGCAAGAAATCTTATTTTCAAAAGTGAGCCACTATAGGATTATTATGCTTCGATACGAACAAGCTCTAATCCGTGTGCAGCTGTTGAACGTCGTACCATAGATGACTTAAACGTCCACCATCTTATTTAGCAGGTTTTTGGAGAGAGGGGAAGGGAATCCAATCTGCATAGTCTTTTGGACCTTATTCATCCCACGGAATGTACGCATTTAACCAAGATGTATTGAAGAATTAAAGCAGCATTTTGTTGGTATGATTTTATTTTGTCAATGAATCGTCGCTGTTAAATGATAGTTGACTTATTATTAACGGTTTGCGTTTGCAACATATATTAATAGAATTATTAGTTTCAGACTTCCAAATTCTATTTTACATTCAACTAAGCAAATTATTGTCAATTATCCCCCAAAATACACCCAAGAAGACTTGAAGAGTTAAAGCAGTCTTTCGTTGGTATGATTTTATTTTGTCAATGAATCGTCGTCGTCAAATGATAAGTGATATCAATAGTGATCGAATTGATTTATTATTACCGGTTTTGCGTTCGCAATATAGATTAATAGAATTATTAGTTTCAGACTTCCAAACGCTATTTTACATTCAATTGAGCACACTATAGTGAGAAAAGTGGCCAATTATCCCCCAAAATACACCCAAGAAGACTTGAAGAGTTCAAGCAGTCTTTTGTTGGTATGATTTTATTTTGTCAATGGATCGTCGCTGTCAAATGATAAGTGATATCCATAGTGATCGAATTGATTTATTATTAACGGTTTTGCGTTCGCAACATAGATTAATAGAATTTATTAGTTTCAGACTTCCAAATGCTATTTTACATTTAATTAAGCAAATTGTTGTAAAAAAGAAGTCAATTATCCCCCAAACTATGTTTGTCAATGTGTTCCTATCTCGGACATCTAGATTTATTTAATAATATATTAAATGGGATTCTTTCACCCTGTTCTTCGATAACAAGCCCACAAACTTGTTTTCATAGAATTAATTAAATTGATTAGAACCATGTCAGGAATTCTTCCATCATAGACTGCTCCAAATCGCCACGATCTTTTGTCTTAACAATGTTCGATATCTGGACTGTTGGATGGCCAGTCGATAAGTTGAGCACATTATTGCTAGGAAACGATTCGGCAATTTTGTTGATATGTTTGGGATCATTGTCTTGTTGCCACTCCGTGATCGATTTCGTTCGTGCTAAACACATGCACCGATTCAGAAATCACAGCTTTTTTTTTAGGTTTATACGTGTATCCTGGAAAAACGTAGCTGTGATATTCCTTTGCGCACTCGGCCGAGTTTCGGGATCTATGTGTTCCCATCCTCTGCTCGCTCGCCAACATTTGGAGTTCTAACCGTTTTAAATTTTTCGAAACCGTCATGTGAGATACGTCGACACTACTTGCTTGATGTCAGTCCAGTTGCCAAAGTTCTCAGTGACCTGTCTCTTCGCATCCGATGGCTCGTGTTGCGTCACACGTAAATTTTTTACCCCCCGTATGCGGCAGTTTTTTTTTTTTTTTCAATTTTTAAATATTGTAATAGATTGTTGAAAGTGGTAAACTTCCGCGGCAAAAAAGGTCGTCGCCCGCAATGCTGACCCACATATTAAAACCGCGGACGACGTCCGGACAGCGCGTACTCGTCGTGGCCGTAATATAAGCGCAAGGGCGCACTAGGGACGGCCGCCCAGGGTGGCGGCTAAGGACGTGGACGTGCGGTTCTTGTAGGCATGGCGGCGATGTCCTACGTTCGTTCGGTGGTGGCATTATGAGATAATAATAAGTTTATAGGTGATTTTTTAATTGACAATAAAAAGTAAAAATTTTTTTTGAGTGGCTGTGCCTTAATACGTTTTGTGGCGATAAATCTATGTGCTAAATGTTTAAGTGTAAAATATTTTTGTAATTCGTTTTTCAGACAGTCAGTGTCTATTTATACAAATGGCCGACCACTAGCAAAATAAATATTATAATAATTTGTGAACGTTCCTTAAATATATGCATTAGACAGACTCGTGCAAAGCCTGCCCACCTGCCCAAAATAATTAAGCAAATTTCCACAATCGCATCTGATTGGGCTTTAACCGTCGAGAACCAAGAAGAGTTTTTCAATGGACACAAGTTATGCATTGTGTCAATGACTGACATCTAACAAAGTCTGTATTTTGTTTGATTTATTAATGGGCTCCATATCTAAAGCCAATCATTGTCATACATTTTACTTTATTTTCATATTTATGGTAAACAGGTGTATTTTTATTCGTTACGTTAGGCTAACTGTCGGGGGGGGTCAATTCGTAATGGAACATAGTTGTGTATGTTATCGTGATAATTTCACAATAAAATCGGCGTCGTCCAAATTCATGGTACCTCATTAGTAATCTGGGTACCCATTTCGTTGTGGCTTTGTATTTGGTTGTTGTGAAACGGAAGAACAATCTTTGGTGGGGGATTAGTGAACAATAGCCGAATTAATTTCTGATTGTTGGCTGAATTACTGTATCCTAATACCAGGGTCCAATAATTTTAGTAAAATTTCAATCAGCAGACGTTAACTTTTATTTAATATCTGATAGAAAGAAGGTTTGCAAGAAATGACCTTATTTTAATTGGCTTAGTAGTAGCGAGTTTTTTTATTAGACACACATATTCGAAAACTGCCTTATTGTAAACCACTGGTTTAATTTAAAGTTTACGGGGTTCCGTGTGTAACAAATTAGGGGATGTCTGCTGATGCTCCACGCGCATGATCGACAGGATTCAAGGGGCGTTGTAGTTGTTGCGTCAATCTCAAGGCGTACAATGGACTTAATAGACAAATTCATCACGTTTAAAATAGAACAGCCGTGTGAAAACCCTTAAACTCGCATTACATTTTCAGAATTTGCCGCAAGCATCATAATTTCTATTTTTGGATCATCTCACTGTATGAAAATAAACTAGCAATAGCAGACGTAACGAGAATCAATAACGTTGCGTTGTCCGTTAACTTGACTTATACTAACGTAAAAAAGTACAGTATAAACATTATGTGATGTGTTATATTTAGCAACAGTCGGTATAATTTGTATGGATGTACTACCGACCAAAAAATGGACAATACTTACAGTGTTCTTTGTTTACATGCAAAGAGCGTACAGTGTATACTTATTTGCTTAACAGGCCATTGACAACTTTTTAATCGTTGTTCTATTCATATTTATTCCGCGTTCCGGCATTCTACATTTACACACACTCTGTCTCACGTCCACTTCCATATTCGTACGTTATAGTTATGCATATGACTACAATAGATAAATTTTGTTTATTATTATGAAAAATTTTCCGTTTAATCATAAGTTGTACACGGTGGAATACAGTCTTCGGACGATAGTAATTGTACGGTAGTTTGCAACCCCTGTTTGCTGTTAGACAATTCAGGTCCGAATTAACAATGTGGCGTCGCAAGTAAAAATTTGTTTTTGTGCAAGCTGTGTAAAATAATAACGAATGCACAACCATTAATAAACTTCTTATTAAATTTTAGTATTTATTAGCAGTTTGCCAAGTTAACAACTTATTGATTAAAAGAAAGCGATAAAATAGAACAATTATTACAAATAGCATAAAATTTATTGTAAAGTTTCAATGAATATACGTATGTCAGCAATCGGGCACCACAATATGTGTACAAGTAAAATATTTTCTTCTTTTTACCTATATGTCTAGCAGGAACAATGCTAATGCTAAATGTCACGCATCATTTGAAAAACGCAAGTACAAGAATGGGGCAAATATTTTCTGTGTAATTGCAAGTTTGCTAATGCAACCATGAACAAAAATAATATCAGATACATAATTATTTATTTTTAACTGATACGTAACGCTGTCCAACTCTAGAGTCTCCGGAGACTTTTTCTAGAAAAGTGGATTAATATTATTATACCATCTATATATTTGTCCCTGAGACTTGAATGGAGTTTTATTATTTTTACGTAAACTGCCTGCAAAGTATTTGAGCAAATAATATTAGTATGTCTTTCTTATTTTTTAGTTTCTATGTCTAGTATAATTGCGTATCCTTGTTGTACGTCGTCTGGTATTTTTTCATGTGATTGTTGTCAAGATGTTTATGTTATCAAGATCAAAAATCTTGCAATGAGCCAAGCCCCATATTACTTTGTTTATACATCGAACGCCCATTTCATTGTTCCATTTGCTTCTTTTTCACAAGTGATTGTTTATCTGCGGATGGATAAGTTATCTGTCAATTGCTAATTGATTCTTATTCAATGGCGTGTTCTTCCATCTGTCGCTTTCACAGGTAGATTATCTAGAATGGGATCTAAAATGGAGCAATAAAGTCCTTTTGCGATCAGGGACTTACGTACTTGTGCATAAACAAAAGCTGTTTCAATGGCAGTATTCCCATTTAAACATCTGCAAAAACCCATCTTACGTTGACTAATCAGGAAAGTCGGAACGACCGAAGACCCCATCTGAGTATATTCGCGAACAATGCGATATGCATCATGGTGGTACATGTAACGTATGACTTGGTGTCTTAATCGACTTGTCTTGGTATTGTCAATGAACAGTGTGGCAAGTAGCTGCTGATTAATAATCAACCACGGATAACCAAATCATGGTGCAGAAAGGACGTCTTTTTCTGTTCAGAACACATCACAGCTGGATTAGTAAACGTTCAACTACTGTATCGTCTTTGTTATCGATATTAATATTATGTTCTGGTATGATAGAATTGCAAACCATTAATGTACTGTTATTGTTAATATATAAGTAATGTAAAGTTGAGTTTACTCGACTACATGATAACTTTACAATAAAAATGATAATTGAACCGCTTAATCCATGCAAAGTATCTGAATCTAATTTGATAATGTGAGAATGTTACTTTTAACAGCATTGAATTAAAACCCTAGATATTAATGACGCCGCAATATTTTGAATTACAAACCGAGGCACATTTTCAATAGGAAAGTTAACAACTTCCCCAAAACATCCAAGTTTTCGTTGAAACTGAAAATGGTGCATCGAAGACGAGACTATTCGATCGTGTGAACGCGGAGAACATGAACAAAACCCTGTACTCGTTGCATTTCTTGAACCATGACACAGAACGCAAAAACGCTGTTACCCATTACTGGAACTACAAAAGAAACAAATAATTGATTTAGTTGTGAATTGATTGAAAACGAACGTTTGCAAACATGCTAACCTTGGCGCGGAATAAGTTTGAAATGTCTTGTATAAGAATAATAGTTCGAAATCATTTCCTGAATATTATAATAATAGCCAAGCTCAATATTGCAAGTTTCTTCCTCTACAAACTATTATACATAATTATATGCACACAGAAGTCTTTTGCCTGTATCTGGCAAATGTATACGAGATTGTCATGAAGAGCAATATAGAAGGTGGCCGAAATTCGTATATGCTAATTGAACACGAATTGGCCGAGATTAAATGGTATACGCGTTAATAATTGAAAGTTGAGATTGATAGAAAGTCGACTTTGAACTCACGCATCACTATGATTGGTCAAACATAGAGATATTACCGTAAACCATAATCTAAAGGCAAATCATACGAGTCAATTATTGATAAATTCGCCCGTTTATTGCTTACCCATTTTGGCGAAACCAGATTCTCACATGCTGTTAACTATCCCACACAGGAAATCAAACAATTTCCAGATCATCTCCCGTTGTTTGGGGAAAAATACCATGCGTTATAATAGATGCTATTGACATAATACCACGGGGGCACTATAATTTGTGATCATTATTAATTAAGACATAACAACACATGAGCAAAACGCCCGAGCCGCAGGTGTGTTTGGACGGCCTGTGGCGTGTGGCGGTGGCGTAGCCCAGCCACGACAATTTGGCTTTGCCAAATTGGCGACAAGATATTCAAAGATCTCTGGACTGATTTCGCTTCCCGAGCCGCAGACATCCGTTCCGTCAAAAAACTTCGTTAATATTAATGCGGACTGCTCGTTAAACTGTGAGTGAATATACTATACGTTCAACATATAAGGCAAACGCTCCAGTGATTATATAAATTTCCACCTTGCTAATAAAGCGTCTTTTGCCTCAGTTAATTTACTCTTTCGATCGTCAGCCAAAACGGCAACAATCATACCCGGAGACCTTCGCGAATGGAAGACACGTCGGTCACACGACTGCAACTACCCATGAAGAAGTTTCACTCTTGTTAACACGAACAGCATCGAAAGGGATCTGATATGCGAAGAAGAGGATACTCGCGATAATTTTCGATTTAATGATCGCGTTGTGGACATTGAATCCATTCTTGGCATGCCCGAAAAAGAGGTTTACAAGCCTGTCGATTATTGGGCGGAAATATCCAGCGATGTGAATGTCAATAGTGATTTAAATTTAAATGCACGGGTAAGGATGATATCAACGGAGTTATAGATACTATGGTTGAGATATATGGACAGCAATAGTTTGGCTAACATTTGCAAGTTTCGGCTTTATGTATATAAATACTCTTTGATTAACCAAGTCAATTTAATACTGATTCTTTGTTCTTTTTCAGATGATTGAAATGATTGGAGGCAAGAGACGTAATATCGAAGAAGCTAAGGAAAGACCTAGGGTGCTGGGAACGATTGCGGTAATATATTTATTTTGCTGTTATCATGTATGGCGCAATAATATATAATTGTAACATATAATGACATTTAAAAAACACCTAGCTCCATCCTCATTCTAAGCATCTCTGGATGTTGCTCGTACATTATTCTGACGCGAGCGGTTGGTTCATGATCTCCGTTTTCTCCCCGATAATCGATAGTAAGAAGGAAGATGAAGAAAATTAAAGTGGCTAATAGTAAAGTTACTTCCGTTTCACGTAGACAGCACGAATACTTTAAAAACGTGATCAGGAACGTGAGAAGAGATGCCTTTCTCTTAGTAGACATTCCTCTACTGGAAATTACAATTTAACACAAAGTTTACAAGAACCGTCAAGACTGCGAAGCAGGTAAACACCCTCTTCGCCACCACCAAACCATCAGTTTGTCTGATAGACGAGCAAAAGGCGGCTCGGAAAGAGGCCAAGAAAGAGCAGTTAGCTGCTTTGAGAAGAATGAGGCTCGTGTCATGGCTGGAGGTGAAATTGGTACCGCACGTTGTAACATTGGATCTAACGAATCCTAGTAAACCATACAAGGTAATGTCATGAAACTGTCATTCACATAATTTTTAAGATTGTTCTGTTTTCTCACATCATTGCAATTGTTATCTTATTTTGACTTATAGTGGCAACCGAGTCCTTTGCAGTTTCAAACTACTGCAATATC